GAATAATATTTCAGAATGACAAAAATATGCCTTTTTATAAGACCCAGTGTTATATAACAGATAGGAAATAAAAATATCAAAACCTCTCATCTGCTTTTCTGAAAAAATGCAATATATCTTGCGATTTAAAGACAAACTCAACAAATAATATTGCAGTATGAGGCACATTTTTCATTTTATAAAATCCAGTGCTATAATTCGTAACAGATATAAAATATAAGCATTGAACAGCTTACCTGAGAAAATTCAATAAACCTTACAATTTGACAGATTCAACAAATAATATTTCAGTATGACACAAATATTCCTTCACATAAGATCCAGTGATATAAAATATCGTCGCCTTGGTGGTGAAAAGAGCTAAGCCACATTTTTGGACAAATTGAGTTAACAACAACACATCAATCGATTCCGGCCGAAATGCTCGAAAAAGTTGCCCAAAATTGGACTTTCCGAATGGACCACCTAAGACGCAGCCGCGGTCAACATTTACTTCAAAAAGTAAATGTCATGGACCAATCTAACGTTTCAAATAAAGAACCGATAAGATTTTGCAAATTTTATGCGTTTTTTTTTTTTTAAAGTTCTCAAGCTCTTAAAAAATCACCCGTTATAAGCATTGAACACTTTATATCTGCTTTCCCGAGATAATTCAATAAACCTTGCTATTTGAAGACAGGTTCAACAAATGATATTTCAGTAATAGGCATATATTTCATTTTATAAGACCCAGTGCTATATTTCATAACAGATATAAAATAGAATTTAACACTTCACATCTGCTTTCCTGAGATAATTCAATATACCTTGCAATTTGAAGACGGATTCAACAAATATTTCAGTAAAAGGCACATATTTAATTTTATAAGACCCAGTGCTATATTTCATAACAGATATAAAATAGAATTTAACAATTCACATCTGCTTTCCTGATATAATTCAATATACCTTGCAATTTGAAGAGAGACTCAACAAATAATATTTGAGCACGACACAAATATTCCTTCACATAAGATCCATTGCTAAATTTCATAACAGATGTAATGAACGTTGAGATTTGATTCCATTTTATAAGATCCAGTGCTATATTTCATAACAGATATAAAATGTAACCATTGAACACTTCACCTCTGCTTTCATGAGAAAATTCAATAAACATTGCGTTTTGAAGATAGAATCAACNAATAAATACGAAGGAACAAGTGTTAAGTAAAACTTTACAGTCCATTTTCTACAAACAGCTGTTGTGTGGCTTGGCTCACTTCTCCTCCAAGACGACGATATGAGCATTGAACACTGCACATCTGCTTTTCTCATAAAATTCAATAAACGTTGAAATTTGATTCCATTTTATAAGATCCAGTGCTATATTTCATAACAGATATAAAATGTAAGCATTGAACACTTCACCTGTGCTTCCATGAGAAAATTCAATAAACATTGCATTTTGAAGATAGAATCAACAAATAATATTGCAATATGAGGCATATATTCCTTCCCATGAGATCCATAGTTATATTTGGTAACTGATATAATAACAGCAATCTTCACACCTGTTTTCTTGAGAAATGTTCCTGAACCTTGCAATTTGAAGACACATTCAACAAATAATATTTCAGTATGACACAAATATTCTTTTATATAAAATCCAGTGCAATATTTTTCAACAGCGTTGAAACAGCTCACATCTGCTTTCCAGATAAAATTCAATTCCACAGGAGGTGTGCGTTTGAACAGTGTCGTTAAAACACGAATTTTGTCTGGAGAATATTTGTATTTTTCACGTATAGTATTTTGTAAATAATAAGTTGTAAATATCGAAAATTGAATTTACAAAGCATCTAACCAGTGTGCGGTCGGAAGTAAGTGCTCAAGTGAATTAGCGGATCTCCATAAATATGTCTTATAAGTATTGTAAAACCAAATCAATTAATTACTATATATGCAGACATGTTCAGGTATTTATCATAAGAGTTGCTTGACAAGAATTAAAGGAAAAGTTCGCTTTTTGAAAGATAATATAATTAACTGCTGCAAAGACGATTCTGATTCAGATATAAATACCTTAAAAAATTGAAAGACGAGCATGCATTATTTATTCAAGAGGCACTGAAAACAGTACAAGATATGAACCTTATGATAGACCAACAAAAACTAATCATATGCGAATTAAAAGAAAAAATTAGTGGACTGCAGAAGAATCTTCACAAAACCTATATAACGACAAAAAACTGCTACACAAATAAATGAAGAAACCGTACTTTAAAATACATATACAACTGATTCGTAAGAGAATATCCCAGTGGCGTATAAACATACTTTCACACAAACTGATCATGAGTAAACCTTGCGATAAGAAGACTTCAAAAAATATTTCAATATGAAGCAAATATTCCTTTTTATGAGATCCAGTGTAATATTTCATAACAGATATGAAATAAAACCTTTCTCGTCTGCTTTCCTGAAAAAATTCAATAAACCTTGCGATTTGAAGACAGATTCAACAAATAATATTTCAGTACGAGGCACATATTTCATTTCATAAAATCCAGTGCTATAATTCATAACAGATATAAAATATAAGCATTGAATACTTCCCATCTGCTTTCAAGAGAAAATTCAATAAACCCTGCAACTTGAAGACATATTCAACAAATAATATTTCAGTATAAGGCACATATTTCATTTTATAAGATCCAGTGCTATAATTCATAACAGATATAAAATATAAACATTGAACACAACATCTACTTTCCAGTAGACCTTGAGATTTGATTTCATTTTATGAGATTCAGTGTTATATTTCATAGGATATAATCATTGAACACTCAACATCTGCTTTCCTGAGAAAATTCAATAAACCGTACAATTTGAAGACAGATTCACCAAATAATAATTCAGTATAAGGCACATATTTCATTTTATAAGATCCAGTGCTATAATTCATAACAGATATAAAATATAAGCATTGGACACTACATCTTCTTTCCTGAGAAAATTCAATAAATGTCTAGATTTGATTCAATTTTATAAGATCTAGTGCTATATTTCATGAGAAAATTCAATTATCCTTGCAATTTGAAGACATATTCAACAAACAATATTTCAATATTTCAGCATGAGGCACATATTCCTTCTCATGAGACCCAGTGTTATATTTCGTAACTGATATAATGAAGTAGCAATCTTCACACCTGTTTTCTTGATAAATGTTTCTGAATTTGTCGATGTGAAGACACATTCAACAAATAATATTTCAGTATGACACAAATATTCCTTTATCCAGTGCTATATTTCTCAACAGATATAAAATATAAGCATTGAAACAGCTCACATCTGCTTACCACAGAAAATTCAATAAACCTTGTATTTCAAAGACACATTCAACGAAAAATATTTCACTATGACGAAAATATTCCTTTTTATAAGACCCAGTGTTATATTACTCAACAGATAGAAAATAAAAATATTAAAACCTTTCTCATCTGGTTTCCTGAAAAAATGAACCTTGCGATTTGAAGACGAATTCAACAAATAATATTTCAGTATGACACATATAAAGATTCAACAAATAATATATTGGTATGAGGCACATATTTCTTCTTATAAGACTGTTATATTTCGTTACTGATGTATTGACCTAGCAATCTTCACACGTTTTCTTGAGAAATGTTTGTGAACCTTGCAATTTAAAGACACATTCAACAAATGAAATTTCAGTATGAGGAATATATTCCTTCTTATAAGATCCAGTGCTATATTTCATAACATATATAAATAAATAAGTATTGAACACTTTATATCTGCTTTCCTGAGGAGATTCAATAAATCTTGCGATTTGAAGACACATTCACAAATAATATTTCAATATGTTGCAAATATTCCTTTTTATAAGACCCGGTATTATATTTCATATCAGATATGATATGTAGACATTAAAACACTTTGTATCTTCTGAGGAAATTCATTAAACCTAGCAATTTGATGACATGTTCTACAAATCGTATTTCATATTCCTTCTTATAAGTCCCAGCATTATATTTTGTAACTAATATTGACTCAGCAACCTTTCAGCTGTTTTCTTGAAAAATGTTCATAAATCTTGCAATTTGAAGACCAACATATTATATTTCAGTATGACCCACATATTTCATTTTATAAGATCCAGTGTAATATTTCATAAGAGATATAAAATATAAGCATTACAAAACTTCACATCTGTTTTCCTGAAAAATGTATGCGATTTAAAAACAAATTTATCACAATGATGGACATGAAAAACAGAAATAGCAGGTTACAAATATCTATGAACGAATTATAAATAACTAGAAACCTCCATATGGAGAAAATTAAAATGCAGACACATATTCAACAGAGTGTCGGACAGAATACTGAGGAAAAAGGAGAGTGAAAAGCAAAACGAGTATCATACTAAAAAGTAATGGTGAGCCTATCTTTATATATCGATGTAATTTTTTTCAATAATATTGAATTCTATATATCCCTAGCCATTTTGAAACTGATGGAAGTGAAACTTATGGCTTCAAAAAACTTTTGAAAGCACATAAGAGTAATGAATGAATTTTGGAAACCGAATTTTTTGATAATAAAATTACAATTACACAGCTAACATACCAACAACGCTTCCCAAACAGACGCTACAAGATCATACTGGTATTGAACTTTCGTGCTCGACAAGTACAGGAGCACTGCCTGCTATAGTGGAACGAAGGCTTGCCTTAAAGAAGAAAGAACCTACAGACAAAGATAAAACTCTCTTCGCGGGCAGTACAGTGGTAAAAGGAGTGTCGTGAATAAAGACAGCCAATTCATATGCATGAACGACCTTAGTAGATTAGTGATGTAGTATTTAGAAAAAAAATAAAATAAAATTAGATATCCAAACAGGTATACTCCAGCTTTAGTTATACTAACCAGTTGAACCAATAATAAAGTATGTCTCAACAATACTTTCTTACTACAGAATCAGAATGCACACATAAGAATCAAGTCAGATACATATTTCTCCAACACATCCCACAAATTGAGATATTAGGCATGTATTGGCAGTAACAGTATAGTTACCTCAGATGAATTTTATGAATTGACATCCAATCCAATATTTGACCAATATCCTGCTTTGTAGGATGTACTAACCACCAACAAATTCATGTACTTTTATTTCAATCATTTACATGAGAAAAAACGTCGCACTTAGATCAAGATAACATATTTACATCAGTGTAAAAGAAATTCATTCTAAGGGTTTCATTTGTGTCCTTGATGTACCACCAACACCATCCAGTAGTGTATCTCCATGTTGATGTTTCATTCCGCATTACAGGACCACGATCATCAGTTCTTGTGTGGGAGCTCTGAAAAAAAATATATAAATTAAATTTATTTCACTAAAAATAAGTTATAGACATTTTTGGATTTCACTACTTTAAAATAAAAAGCGCAGATGAAACCTTTACAGAGGAAAATACTAAATTTAAATAGAAATGTCACATAGTGCAGGCAAAATATAATTTATCAACACACTTGTTGAAAATTTTTTCTAAATATTTCAAAAAACAAGCATTTTATTTTTTGGGAAAGCTAGACAAGAACTTTCACTCTTAAAAACGTATCTCCTTCAATTTAAAGTATTTTATCTTTTCCAAATGTTCCCTTCATTGAATTGACAAAAAATACCCTATTAAATAACAGTTAGTTCAGAAAGAGAGAAAATATTCTTCATTGTCTGAAGAACAAAAATTCTTACTGAAAAAGTGTATCTTATGTTAACAGTTTAAAAAACAGACACAAAACACAAATCAGTCAAAAGACAAACATAATTTAAAACGAGACATTTAACAAAACATGAGTTAGTCGGAAAATAATGAATGAAGGGCCATACAAATAAGTTTTCTTATTAGACATGCAATTTCCAATATGAATAATGCTGAATTGAAGGGGTTATATTTTTAGGAGTGATTAATTTTTGGGAAAGTTTTTGGCTTTCTACTACTCCATCTGATACAAAAAAAAGGGATGAGAGAATATTTGGAAGATTCTCTCATCCCTTTTTTTGTATCAGATGGAGTAGTAGAAAGCCAAAAACTTTCTTTCCCAAAAATGAATAATGCTATTACCATCAGTATTTTATATTTAATAAATTAATGGTCGACAAGGATCTCAATGATGATAAACCATCTTTCTGTTGGACAGTCCAAGTTCATTGGATACGATACGAATTGCATAACATCCACATGCTAGTTTGCTTTAGCGAGCCTCAATATGAATATGTAAATTCAGTCTGCTATTAATGTGTTACCCTTTTGTATGACGTTTGTTTGAAGGTGATTGACAATGTTTCGTGATGAATTTCACTAGTTCGGACTTGCATTGTCTACTATATCATCACCCGAAGATGATTGTAGATACCAACAATCGAAACGTCGTGAACTAACGTGACTTGGAATCTCTACACTTTATTTTTATTATTTTCTTTTTTGCATTCCTTTAATTTTTATTTATTCAATTATTATATTTTTACTTGTAGGTTATTTCACTATCATTTCATTTCAGGTTTATTGTTGCTTAATATAATTGTTATTTTCAACTATTCTTTTTTAATTATTCTTTTTTACTTGTTTCAGGGATTTCAAATCATTTTATATAGTAGACAATGGAAGTCCGAACTAGTGAAACTTTTGTATGACGTTGTTGTGTTTGATTCTCTATAAGAAGTTTAGTATTATTCTGATTCAAGGTATGTGCACCATAGATCTTAAAATATATTCAGGAAACACAGCTATTTTCTGGCTTTGTTTATCATGGTATTCAGGTTATCATGCCTGACGTTTCGCCTTGAACTGCGGTAGAAATTATTAAAGGCGATGTGACAAAGGAAGAAGTGTTCTAGTTGTTGAAGCACAGAGTACCGTATGTGCTCTAAGGACAAGTGTAACACTTCGTCCATAACCTCATTGCTTTTGATACTTTTGATATCTATCAAATACTATAGGCCAGCGGTACTCAACCTTTTTCCCCTTGACCCACATAGTCGCTACTGCTAGACCTTGCGGGCCGCAATAATAAAACTGAACTGAACAAACTTTCAGGTGTTGCGTTATCAGTTAAATACAATAAAAGGCAACTGTGAAAATAAACCATTTATTTAAAAATTAATGTGATGATTGACATTGACACAAACACTTTCACAATTTCTGGACGAATCAAACAAGTACTTGAACTGTGTTTGTTATGTACAACAAAATATTCTTCCTCCCAATTGTCTTGAAATAATCTATTTTCGTCAGAAATTTTAAGTTTTGATTTTGAGGACACGCCAGCCATTGTAATGGTTACGAATTCTCGGCACTAGTGAAAGAAACTCAGTCGACTGACGAACACAATAATTTACAAGTACACGTGACTTTGCACAAGAATGAGATGTTACTAGCTTGAAGACTTGAACTAAAGAGAGACAAGAATCATGATTTTTCTTCCACGTGTTGATGAAACCGGAATTCCGGCATTCTGTTTTGCCAACACCGTTCGCGAGTATTCGAATACTAGGCTTTCCAGTGTTCAATCACAGTATTCGATTTGGGTCAAAAACCCCAACACATTTTTGTGTCGTTATCAGAAAATACTATTGTCAAATAATCTAAAATAATTATATTAGCCTTCAGGCTGCAGAAAAGGCTAAAGCCACTAGAGGGCCGCATAGAAAAAGTTGGCGGAACGCATGCGGCCCGCGAGCCACAGGTTGAGTATCGCTGCTCAAGGCAGCTTGCGTCAAAAAAGGGCAGTTTGCAGGAAGTTTTGCAAGAGTTTTGAAATTTGGTTCTATATGGTATTTTGGGCTGCTGAACACGAATCTGAGGTTTACCAACAAAAGTTTTCACAGGAAATATGTTTTTTTTTTTGCAAAAATTGTGAAAAAAATCGACTTCGTTTTGTTTTTTGCGAATAACTCGAAAACTACGCATTTTGTGTAGAAATATCACCTATACAAAAAGAAAGAAGATAAAATTTCCTACATTTTATGTCATTGAAGTTTTTTTCTACGGTCAACCATTAGGCCATGGGAGAACGGTTAAAGTGGGGAAAACCCCCAAAACTCCAAAAATCGGGATTTTCGGCGATTTGACACGGAAATGCAATATTGAAGGAATTATTCGTTAAACTCACACTAACTTGTCTTGTAGAAAAACTCTTGATTCATATCACAATTGTCGGTAACTCTTTAAGTAAAATTTAATACATTTTAAAGAACTTTTACAGATATAAGTTGAAACAAGATACTGAAACCCTTTTCTATGCAACAACCTGCTAATTCATCCAGTAGGCAAATGACCTTTGCTGAATACATAGTTTTAAGGTGAAAGCAATAAAAGCTAACGGGAAATTCCTCAATGGAATGATTTGTTTTCAAAGCGGGTGCAATACGACGTCTGCCTCTTCAGGCAAGGAAACACGAAATTTTCAAATACGCTTGTGAAGAACCCCAGTCTCAGCAACGTGATCAACATCTTCAATAACCCCAACGCCTCCCAAGAAGCAGCAATCGCCGCAAGAGAACGTTTTCTGCATGGTTACACAGGGAAAACCACACCCTCGCTCAACCACCTGAGGTTCATCTGCTTCAGCAAGGCAGCGTTCACGCTCAGCTCAAAAGTTAGGAGCTTTACCACCTGGTGCTGCTGCAGCGAGGAAGCACTTTTTCAGGGTCTACCACCAGGTTCAGCACTGGCTTGGTGTGGAAAAAGACCGCAGCTCTCCCTGCGCTTCTAAAGCTGATTTCGTGCAAGTGCACCACAAATTGCCAGCGAAATTGTGGGTGCAGGAAGGCAAATCTATCCTGCTCCTCCTTATGCGTAAATTGTGAGGGCACCTGCAATAACATTAAAACGGTGCAAGAGGAGGAGCAGGACGAGGAGGAAGCCGAAGCTGAGATGGACGATTTGTTGCCGTTGGACATTCCACAAGGAGAAAACTCAGAAGGTAAATGCTTGCAATATCTTAATACTACTCAATCCGTTATTGAAATTTAACTCCCTCCCCTGATTCTATGCTTTTATTTTTTTTTCTTTTACTGATGAAGATGATCCAGATCTTAATGAACGGCCCTCGAAAAAGTTGAGGACGCAAGGAAATCGAAGGTACAATCATTTGAGGGTTGCAGAGAAACAGTATTTTGACAGTCACAACTTTCTAGAGTTATCACAGTTCTCACTAACCCGTTCGAAGAAGAATTCGAAGATTGAAGAATGACTATGATGACAATTTCAACGTTCATATTACTATTAATATACACAAATTTTATTTCGTATGTATAAATGATTCCATGTTTTTATAATCAATAAACTAGGTATTTGAAACTGAATTGAACTTTTTTTCTTTATACTCACTTTTTCATTATTTTAAAAAATACTTTATATTATTCACCATGTGCCTAAGCTTACTGATCATTCTTTAGTCTCAATGAATCTACAAAATAAAATAACTAATTCGCCAAAAATCTTGAAAAGCTACTGTAATTAGGTCAAGAAAATATGAATAAAATCTGTATCGAGTTAATTGAAAATAATTATTTACTGAATTGTGTAGACATTGATAAATTTCATGATGACTTCATTAGTATAACAGAAGAAACTGTCAACAAAATTGCTCCTGTCAAAACATGCTTTTCACCAAAATAGTCTCTCTTGGTTCGACAGTGATCTTAAAGAACTTACTAAACAAAGAGATAAAGCATATCAATCTTATAGATAAAACAGGTGCAAAAATAATTGAGTTGTGTACAAAAGACTAAGAAATGATGTAGTTAATTTACTCAAAATAAAAAAACAAGAATATTATTACAACAAAATCGATTCGAGTGCAAACAATCAGCAACTTATGTAGAAAATTATCAAATCTTTAGTAGATACAAAGCCAAATTCTAGTGTTTTAAACAATATAGAATTCGAAACAGAAGGTCAAGTAAAGTCCTGAAAGACGTGACTGAAATAGCAGAAACTTTTAATAAATATTTTGAATCGAGCTTAGAAGATATTATTAATTCAATTAACGCTCATAAAGAATGGCAAAGTAAAATCGTTGTGGAGACTAATTTCGAATTTTTTACGCAACTTGAACTGAAAGATCTCACTCTAATTGTTAATAAAATGGAAAATAAATCTGGGGATGAAATTATAGATATCAAGTTTATAAAAAACACTCTTGGGGTGATAGGTCATGTTTTGTTACACCTCATTAATATTTCACTTCAGTATTTCATTAGTTCGGACTTCCATTGTCTAATACAGGGGTCTTCAAACTTGGAAGCCTTCGGGCCATAACGATTTTTTCAGTTTGTTCCAAGGGCCAATTTCTGCCC